ATTTCCCCCAATTTTAATGTTCTTTAATACAACTTTAGCTGCCACATTTTCAATAGCTTAAAACAATATTCAGAAAATATATTTAATTAATTTTCTCTATTTAGGAATTATATAGAAAGCGAGTAATACATATACGAACGCGCGAAAATGATACCCCAATTAATTGTTCACTTTTTTGTAATGCATATTTCTTCCAGAATTGGTTGACAAAAATAATAACTGCAAAAAGGTGAAATATTTAACAAGGTCGAAAAGGGGGAAATAGCTTAAAAGATCCCATTTTGGTTTTCGAGTTTGGCGGTTTTTTTTAAGAAACACCTGATAGATGAGCCAAGTTTAAATTCAGGGTTGAATTTAATATTGCTGTTTTAGTTTATGTTTTAGGAAGCTCTTTTTACATTCAACGATCTTTGAAGCACGTAGTTGCGAGTCATGCGCTAGTAGAGTTTTAATTGTGCAAAATTAATTTCAATGAATTTTAGTCATTGTCTACCAGCTAAAAAATGATGAAAACATTTTGTCGATTTTGTTGGTTTTATTGGCTTAGTTTTAAAGTGCCTAATGTCGCAATTGAGTGTTTGCAAAGAACGTTTCAACAATTGCAATTTTCAACAGGAAAAGTTTCATGGTTTTCATGTTTCTTTTTAATCGTTTTTTTCCGATTCGCTGTCCGATACGATAGCTTTTATTCGTTTTTCGATTATTTTTTATAACTGTTATCTGATAACTTTTTTTCCCGCATACTAGCTTTTTTTTATCATCCTTGTAAGTTTTGAGAAAAGAGATTTATAACGTTTTTACTTTGGAGTGGTCTGAATCTCTTAGATTTTCAAAACTTTATAAATTAAATTTTTCTACTCGATGTTTTTATGCGCTTTATTGACAGTCGAGTACCTTGAAAGTAGTGTAAGGGTCCTCGGTAATACTGATTTCCCGGCAGATTTTTTGATTCGGTTGGAAACAAAAAATGGGCAAAAGTTTTTTATTGGTTAGTTATTTGGTTTTTTACCGAAAACAATTAAAAACATTTTGTTTTCCTGTCCTGAGGTTTTTTTCAATTTTCAAGAGAAAGCTTAAGGGAAGTTAAGTTAAAACGATATTTTCTTTCACTGGATTGTAATTTTTTTTTTATTAATATTTGGTTAAATAAAAAACTAACAGAGCTTCCATTTCTCAACTCTAAGACAGGGCACTGTTAGTGACACATCGGTGTTGCAAATCTGTCCTCTTAATTTAAATGCTCAAATACTTTTAGTTTTCGAGATGTGGAATTTCTTATAATTTTTTCATTTTTTTTATAAAACTTGAATGAAATCTTAAGCGATCTTGAATTTCTCAACACTAATTGTGGTGTTCTTTCAGGGTACTGTCAGGGTAAAAATCTGGCCTCTGACTTTTACTGCTGATAATTTTTTTGTTTCTGAGATATGGCATTTTTCATGAGTTTTTCAATACTTTTTCATAAAATTTAGATTTAAAAGCAAGTAACAGAAATTGAAATCCCTAACCCTATGGTGGGATGCTGTCTCGTGGAAATAAAAGGTACCAAATCTACCCTCCACTTTTACGCCCAAATCGTTTTGGGGATCCTATCTTATTAACTATTTCCCCCAATTTTAATGTTCATTAATACAACCTTAGCTGCCAAATTTTCAATAGCTTAAAACAATATTCAGAAAATATATTTAATTAATTTTCTTTATTTAGGAATTATATAAAAAAAGAGTATTACATATAAGAACGCGCGAAAATGATACCCCAATTAATTGTTCACTTTTTTGTAATGCATATTTCTTCCAGAATTGGTTGTCAAAAATAATAACTGCAAAAAGGTGAAATATTTAACAAGGTCGAAAAGGGGGAAATAGCTTAAAAGATCCCATTTTGGTTTTCGAGTTTGGCGTTTTTTTAAAGAAACACCTGATAGATGAGCCGAGTTTGAAATCAGGGTTGAATTTAATATTGCTGTTTTAGTTTATGTTTTAGGAAGCTCTTTTTACATTCAACGATCTTTGAAGCACCGTAGTTGCGAGTCATGCGCTAGTAGAGTTTTAATTGTGCAAAATTAATTTCTATGAATTTTAGTCATTGTCTACCAGCTAAAAAATGTTGAAAACTTTTTGTCGATTTTGTTGGTTTTATTGGCTTAGTTTTAAAGTACCTAATGTCGCAATTGAGTGTTAGCAAAGAACAACGTTTCAACAATTGCAATTTTCAACAGGAAAAGTTTCATGGCTTTCATGTTTCTTTTTAATCGTTTTTTTTTCGATTCGCTGTCCGATACGATAGCTTTTATTCGTTATTCGATTATTTTTATAATTGTTATCTGATAACTTTTTCCCCGCATACTAGCTTTTTTTTATCATCCTTGTGAGTTTTGAGAAAACAGATTTATAACGTTTTTACTTTCGAGTGGTCTGAAACTCTTAGATTTTCGAAACTTAATAAATTAAATTTTTCTACTCGATGTTTTTATGCGCTTTATTGACAGTCGAGTACCTTGAAAGTAGTGTAAGGGTCTTCGGTAATACTGATTTCCCGGCAGATTTTTTGATTCGGTTGGAAACAAAAAATGGGCAAAGGGGTTTTATTGGTTAGTTATTTGGTTTTTTAACGAAAGCAATTAGAAACATTTTGTTTTCCTGTCCTGAGGTTTTTTTTTCAATTTTCAAAGATAACTTAAGGGAAGTTAAGTTAATACGATATTTTCTTTCACTGGATTGTAATATTTTTTTGGTTAATATTTGGTTAAATAAAAAACTAACAGAGCTTCAAGTTCTCAACCCTAAGACGGGGTACTGTTAGTGACACATCGGTGTTGCAAATCTGCCCTCTAAATTTAAATGCTCAAATACTACTAGTTTTCGAGATGTGGAATTTCTTATCATTTTTTCATTTTTTTAATAAAACTTGAATGAAATTTTAAGCGATCTTGAAATTCTCAACCCTAATTGTGGTGTTCTTTCAGGGTACTGTCAGAGTAAAAATCTGGCCTCTGACTTTTATTGCTGATAACTTTTTTTTGTTTCTGAGATATGGCATTTTTCATGAATTTTTCAATACTTTTTCATAAAATTTAGATTTAAAAGCAAGTAACAGAAATTGAAATCCCTAACCCTATGGTGGGATACTGTCACGTGGAAATAAAAGATACCAAATCTACCCTCCACTTTTACGATCAAATCGTTTGGGAGATCCTATCTTATTAAGTATTTCACCCAATTTTAATGTTCATTAATACAATTTAGCTGCCACATTTTCAATAGCTTAAAACAATATTCAGAAAATATATTTAATTAATTTTCTTTATTTAGGAATTATATAAAAAGTGAGTAATACATATACGAACGCGCGAAAATGATACCCCCATTAATTGTTCACTTTTTGTAATGCATATTTCTTCCAGAATTGGTTGTCAAAAATAATAACTGCAAAAAGGTGAAATATTTAACAAGGTCGAAAAGGGGGAAATAGCTTAAAAGATCCCATTTTGGTTTTCGAGTTTGGCGTTTTTTTAAAGAAACACCTGATAGATGAGCCAAATTTAAATTCAGGTTTGAATTTAATATTGCTGTTTTAGTTTATGTTTTAGGAAGCTCTTTTTACATTCAACGATCTTTGAAGCACCGTAGTTGCGAGTCATGCGCTAGTAGAGTTTTAATAGTGCAAAATTAATTTCAATGATTTTTGGTTATTGTCTACCAGCTAAAAAATGTTGAAAACTTTTTGTCGATTTTGGTTTCTTCAGACAAATTTCGACTTTTTAACTAGCCATTTTTGGCGGAATTTTTTCATTCTTTAGCGGAATTTTTAGCGGAATATTTTCATACCTTTCGAATTATATCATTTGAAAGGTATTGTTGTCCTGAGCTCAAATTTGAAAAGATATTTCACCTGTGATCATTTTTCGTAAAGTTATGGGGGTTTAAAGATTGCCATTTTGGCCAATTTGGGACAATTACCGCGCGATATATTTAGCGCTCTTAACGCATGAGCGGAGAGTTAATCCGTCTTAAAACTGTTCCAATTTGGTTGAAAGAAGCTTATTTTCCATAATTGATTTGTAACAAGGAGCGAATTTCATCGTTTTATACTTTGTAAGGCGTGTGTGGGGTGATGATTTTCACAAAAAAAAATTCGAATTTTAGAAAAAAAAATTTTCATTTTATTTTTCTTACATTTAATTTTTCAATGTTATTACTGCTCCATAAAACCTTAAAAGGCAGTCGGAACATTCAGGGCTTCGCCTTGATACGAGTAGTCTTGTTTAAGTTTCAAGTGGTTGTCAGATTTCTTAGCTTCTGTTTAACTGTGATTTCTTTTGCAAAGCGATTTCTCTAGCAACATACTTTTTTTTTAAGTTTTGACGTTTGAATCTAAGTGTAAGTAAGCTACTGTAAGCCTGCACGTAACGCTAACCTTATTAGCTCGAAGGTAGGCCAAAAAGCAAAAGTTTCAAATCGGTTTTTATCTATACTGAGAAAAAAAATTTTTGTTGAAATCACGACTGAAAGGGCTTTAGTATGAAGTATCACTCGACCCATTCCGACTTAAGTTTGTGGTACCCGATTTTGCGTGGAAAACAAAAAAAAACAAGAATAGTCGGTTTCTGTACAACTAGCACCGAATGTTCCGCCCATATAGTCTATGAAAAACTACAAAAAATTTTTTTTTTTCAAGCTAGTGTAGTTTTTTCTGCGTTGAAATTAACTACTTCTAATGAACTTCAAATTACCATCACTTTGTTGTACACGTAATCAAGAATCAGTTTTTGGCACTGCTTCTGTTTTGAGCTCTCAAACCAAAGATAATAAGTTTTCATCAAGTATCTATTCATCAAGTATTAGGCAACAATTGAGTCTTTAATGAATCTAAGTGAAAAATGAGTTAAAAAAATTGATTAAAATATCCAATAATAGACCTCTGAATACCAAATAAAACTTATGCTGCATTTTTTTAACTTCAAGTAACCAACAAATTGAGGGGAGAGTAAAAAATGCCAAAATGAAAGGAAAAATCAGTGTCTCACATAGTAGAGCAAGAGATCTATTTGAAAATCACTTGGCAAAAAGAAATCTGATTTTCGCCCGTTTTGCGAGCAAAACAAGCTTTCGCTATGCTTGTGGCATTCAATTGCTCGTTAAATGCAAATGTCATTTAGGGTTCCTAAAACAGTCTTCGTTATAAAATTGGAATTAGAATGAGCATAATTGTAACAGCCGGAGAGAATACATTAGTTCTAAAGCCATTGCTACTTCTGTTCATGCGAGTAGTAGTTTTATAAACGATCCTTGAGTTCAAATCCTTCGTTTTTCTGAAGTTGTTTTGAGGTCGCTCCTTGGGAGTGTTGTCATCTGGTCTCGGAAAGAACTTGTCATACTGAAACGTATTTGAAAATTACTTAATGGGAGTACCCACGTTTATTAAAATGACCGTGAAAAACTCCTGATGATTTTGCAAATATTCTGACATTTATATAGGGTACCTGGATTTGCAAAAAAACAAAACATCTGAATAAAAAAAAATCTTTCACATTATAGATTATCGGACCTAAATGAGTTGTATACTTTCCTAAATTAGACTTTTTTATTAACCCCCTGCCCAGCTCCCACCTTTCAACCTTGGACTTTTTATTCCGTGGGGGAAAGAGATGACATCCATTTTGTCGCAGGTGGTCCCACCGTGAGGAAGTGGATGGTACTGGGAATCCTTCAACCGTGACCGAAGTTCATACCCCTGGTATAGATTATTATATAGTATCATTTTTCTCAACAATAATTACCTTTGGTTAACGTTCTAATTTTGAAATAATCAGATGTTTTGTGAAACCCCAAAACAAAAGTTGAAGATCGCATGCGAACGCTAATTAGGCGATTGGTCAAATGCGTCCGAAAAATGCGCCGCTGGGTTTTGGGTCAAAAGCGTGGTTTTTGTGTGCAAAAATCTTGAAGGTCGCAAGTTGGGAAGTCCTGTTTTGACTGGACTCCTGACGCTTCTGATGACTCACTTGGGATTTTGTTATCGTAAGTGGCTGCTGAAATACTGTCCAAACTACTGTTTCACTGCATGGTGGCGTCGTCAGGGATCCCGAGTAGCGATAGAAACTTCGCATTGATTGGTAGTCTCCAAATGGAATCACGTCTGCCAGGTTGATAGTCTGAGCCGGTGTCATCTCTAACAAATCATCTGTAAAACTGCAGTAAATTAAAGCATTAGAGTTAAATATTATTATAAATGTTTTTTGAGTAAGAAAAGTTGTACTACCTGCACTACGTAACGGTTGAATTGAGTTTGTAACTTTCTCCCAGAATTCAGATGACTTCCCTTGATCGTTTTCTGAAACCTAAAATGACTTTTGATGTCTAGTCTGAGTGATTAACCATACACAGCTAGTATTTTGGAGAAAATGTTGCAAAAAAAACACTGAAAAAAGCTTTTCAAACATGTTTTTTTTTCCAAATTTTGACCTGGGTGTCTATTTTCATGAAAGCGGAGAGAAGGGGGCTGGAAGCATCTGGTTTAACCATTTAACTTCAGCCGTTTTATTAGTCGAGAAAAAATACAATCGATTATCTGTTTTAAGTTATACGGAACCATGTGAGCGAAAACCTACTCATTGTTTCAGTTCTAACCTCCAGTTTCGTCGTAACTGGGGATCTTGCGCACGTTCAAGGAACTTTACGATCATATAGTTTGACCGTGTTCTGAATTCAGCTAAATTTAAGACCAGTAGTTTAAAATTTTTTGACTCACTTGAAGGAAGAAAGCTAACACTGCATTGGGCTCGAATGGTGCGTTTTTGTGTGATTCTGACCTTGAACTGTCTCTTTGTTGGTTTCTGCTCAGCACCAAGTGCATCTACAGCACAAAATTCCTCGTATGATTCCTCTTTTCGACTTTTTGTCAAAAAATTTTTCACAATAGCATAATTTTGAGCAATAAAACTTCATTTTCACAATTGCATTTCCACAATTTCGTATTTGTAGCATCAATAATATTTCAGCTTCTTGGCTCCATGAAAAAAAATAAACGAGTCACGCCAGTCAAAAACAGAAGTCGTCATGAAGAAATGCTCCCAGAGGGATTCTAAATTAGTCTTTTTTCTGACTTTTTTTAGCGGTATGAGTTTTGATTTGTTTTGGTTAATTTCAAATTTATTTGCTAAACGGAAGGCTTATTACGCTTTCGAATTAAACAATCAAATTTAAAGTGGACGACTTTTTAGTTTCAAACGTGGATTTTAATTTTCAAAATTCTGTATTGTTATCTAAAATGGGATCAATCATTAAAAAATCTTCAAATTCAAAGAGTTTAAGGCCATTTATTAGTTTTGAAAATTCTTCAAAATTAAACATCAGTTCTTTTTACTCTTAGAGTTCATTGACATTGGCTATGTTTTTCTGTTCCAGCACAATTTGATAAAAAATTAATTCACTTCTCCGGAAAACTGGCGGCCATCTATCTGATGTTCGGATCCCAGTCGTCTCGAAGGGGTTCCCAAATGGAAGTGCAACTGACGCAGAGTGTACCCACTACTCAAACCCCCGCCACGTATTTCACGCAGATCCTCTGTGTCGTTTATTTGATCTGTTAAAAATAACACTTTTAGAGGTCATGAAGAAAAGTTTATGCAGGTAATTGGTATATTAAACTAATAAAATAGTATTATGTGCCATGTGAAATAGTAGATTTATCGTGAAATTGAGCAGAAACTTGTGAGCATAAAAGCTCCTGGCAAGTATTAACCGTTATTAAGCAGTTTCTTAATTTAGAGCTATTTTCTGCAGTGTTCTCTTTATTTGTGTGTTAATCTTTTCATAAATTCTGTTTAATTTTCCTTCTAATTATAATTTTTATCTATGTAGTGTTTGCCTACAGATTTTTCTAAAGTAAAGAGGAATGCGTCCATTTTCTAGTTGACACTGCTTAACTTGGTAACATTAAATGTAATCGAAAAGTTAATGAAAGATTGAACATTATTCTAATATTCTGACGAGTAATAACATACAGGAAACTCCAGTGTTCATAATGACAGCTCCCTTCATCGGTCTCAGAAAAGCGTCAGAGAACTCGAAGGGGTCTTGATCCTCCTTAACCAGGGTCACTTCATCTGACCTGATGTCTATGGGACTCTGTCGATATCCATTGCACGCTGGATAAGACTCCTTCCACTGAGATATGTCTGCAAAATGATTTTTTTCCAGAAATAACCAACCAAGACCAGAACTAAATTTTTCAGGAAAATCTAATCAGAAGTAAAACAACGGTTTGTCTTTTCTGCTGTTGTTTTCGGTGCAATTGAGTCCAAAAAACACACTGGAATGAGTGTTCCAAAAACAGTTACCGATAATAAATCTTGAAATGTGAATTATAAAGTGGGAAATGTGGGTTGTAAATAAAGAAAATGTAGATTAGGGCGATTTGGGTTCATTCTACGGGAAGTTCGTTTTTCAGCTTGAAGTATTTCGGCTCACTGGTTTCGGCTGATTCTATATCGGCTTATTAACCTCAGATTGCGCAGCTTTATTAGAATGTCATTGTTTTGCGGATGCTTTATTTGTGTGTGCACTATTCCATGCTAAAAACGGACGAGAGAGGAAAATCTGTTGTCAGCCTTTGGGTGTAGTAAGAATACTTCAAACAGTTACTAGAGTTTTCTTCAAAAAAAGCGTTACATACTTCAGGTTACACAGTAAAAATATCTGAGAGCAGTACAGTGCCCAAAACTACAGAAAAGACGGTTCTGCAGGCTTTTAAAAAAGTGAGCATTAATTGTAAAAAAAGTGCTGGATAAGTTTACTAATTACGTTTCGAACTATGGTTTACCGGCTATGTTGTCGTCTTCTAATTAATGTCAAAATTAAAAGTGGACTAAAAGTGTTTGGGGGTGCATTTACAGTACAAATTTTAAACTTTGTCGATTTTTTTGGGTTCAGGAAAACAGTATAAAAAACCTATTTTGACAAAAATTGGTTGGCCGTTTTTGTGCACTTTTTGGAAAATTTTGACGACGAGTCTGCCCCCCCCCCATATCCGTACCTGGTCGAAATGAAAAAGCGCTGCTATTTTGAAGCACGCTAGCTATTAGTCTGCTAGTGCTTATTACTCAAACGAAGTGTCGTGCAATATTACGAAGAATTTTTTTCTAAACTAAGTCGCAAATAAAAGTGCTCAATTGGTTGCACTTTCTGCATAATTTAGGCCTATTTATACATATACAATTTTATAGCATTAGTTGTTGCTTTATTTTTGCCTAATATTATGTCCTGTTTGAAGAAACACATAATACGAAAATGCATGGGATTTGTTGTTTTTTGTTTTTTTTTGCGATGCTTGTGAAAATTTTTTCACTTTTGGCAGAAATTTCATTTTTTTCTCAAAAACTATAGTATCCTTCTTTGAAAAAAAATGGTGCCATGGGACAAACCGGTTGCTCTTCTTTGTGCCTGTATAATTAGCTAGTCTCTTTTCCTTTGACCCCACGTTGTACGGCCTGCGAAAGTTTCAGTTGAGGGTTTTTGACTTAATAAATTTGATTTTTTTTTCATTTTCTCAAATACTAAATGAACAAATCTGAGATGAAGGTTTCACTTAAAAGAACAAATCACGGAATTTTTCCCCTGTAAGGCGGTTGTTTCCCAAAGTTGTTAGAAAAAATTATGGTCTCAAACAAGCCAATTTTTTTTGACAATTTGCCTAATTTTAAAAAAATTTTCACAAAAACTACCCTGCCAAATTGGAGATTAAGGGTTTAACTGAAAGAAAAAAAACCAGTAATATGAATCTTCCATGCACAAGCTGCCATGTACTGCGTTTTGAAAGAATATATGGCCTCAGAAAAAGTCCAATGTTTTGCCCGTTTTTTTAAATTTTTTTTTTCAAAAACTAAGCTGCTGATTTTCATTTTTATAGTTCAATCAAACTAACATGGTGCTTCTTTTTTTCCCTACTTGATCGGCTTCACCTAGATATTTCATAACTATCTCAAAAAATACTATTTAAGTTTGATATTGAGGGTTCAATATAAAAATCAGGGCGTGGAAATTTTCCCTACAGTAGAGGTTTTTCTCATGCATGTGTAGAAAAAAGTTTATGGATTTAGGATAATTCAATTTATCGTTTTATCCGAACAATATTAATTACATTTGGCGTACTTTTTTAAATAAAATTTCCTATGGCGTGTATCAGTTTCATTAATTTTTATTTTGTTTCCTGGTTGGTTTTCGTTTATAATGCTACGCAGTTGATAATGAGCACTTGGTTTAGGCGAAGTTACACGAAGCTACATGTATCAACGTGTTTTTATTTTTCAGGTCTTTTTACTTTTTCCGCCCAAAAATCTTTATTTTATTATTTTGAACTGAAACTGTTTTGCTTCAATTTGATTGCCTAGATTTAGCCAATCAAATTTCAGCACCACTTCAAAATGTTTTGCGTACAATTTTAAGTCGACTTATAAATAAGCTGAATTAGCCAAAAATATTCATCATTTTGAAAAGTTTTCAAGTTTGATAAAATAACCTACAGAAGTCTACCGAGACCAGAAAAAAATACAGAAACTAGCTACAGGAAATAATGCCTAACATCTGCTCAAAATTTGGCCTTTTTAGAAATCGACTAAAATTTCAAAAAAAAACGCATTTGTGTTAGCAAAACGAATCATTGCGATCAGTGTTTTGTTCTCTGCATTTATACATTGAGTACTACAAAATTGCAAAATTTGAAAGTTTGGGCAGAATAAAAAAAAACGACTCTATTTTTCTTGCATGGTTTATGAAATATGCTTTTCTAAACTTTTAGGCAAAAAAAAGTTTTTTTTTGCAGATTTCTGGCAGTTTTTTCCGCTTTCTTAATGTTCCAAATTGGTATGATGTCTGATGTTCAGACTTCTTTATCGTATTTTATAGTTGATTATTATAATTTTTTTCTTGTTTTTGCATAATTTGTAATTCCATATTTATTGTCAGCTGTAAACAATTTCTTCCAGGGGCGGATTTAGGGGGGACGCCCCCTTTTCAGGGATTCGACCCCCTGCCGACCCCCTGCCGACCCCCTTTGTACTATTTTCCTAAATGTATTTTTGGTGATGGATCCTAAAATTTTTCTAAAGGCGCTTTTGGCGCCAACATATATTTATTTTGAGGGAGGAGCGCGCGCCAAAAAAACGCGATTTTTTGGGCACAGTTTTCCAAAAAGTGACTAAAAACTCCTTTTTCGGCCTGTTTTTCAAAGTTTTGCCTTTGGCGCAGAAAATTTTGTCAAAATAGGGACAAAACGATGCTTTTTGAGAGCTCGAAGAATCAATTTGGTCGGCCTAAAAAAAAGGTCGACAAAATTTTCGAAAAATTTTTGGAATCCCGATCCCCCCTCGAGAAATTCCTAGATCCGCCCCTGATTTCTTCTAAAGATCATCGCACTTCTTCTATATGAATTGGTATTATTTCTTAATGATTTTTCAACTAGCGGCCAGAAAATTGATTTCAATTATCAACAGAATCGATGTAATAAAAAATAAAATAATAATAACACAATGTTTTCCCTAGTTTTGAAATCTCTAAAGTCTCAGCGCAACAATTTTGTCTGATAAAAACAAACAAAAAAGTGTCCCGAACTTTTCTCAAGACCAGTGTTTTTCCAGATTGGACTGTTGTTTCGCTCGAAAACCAAATTTGCATTTTTTTTCGTAACTCTTGTTCTTAAAAACAGCAAAGAGTAATAGTCACTTAAGTAATGAGTATAAAGTTAGACAACTAGAAACAAAAAAAACATGACAATATGATGAGAAAACCTTACCGTTGTAAGACCAATCTAGACTATATACAACTCCAAATATTCCAATTGAGAAGATTTCTAGAATTGTGAACCAATTAGATCCGTTCATATTATTCGTATAAACTAACTGACTGACCGACAATTCGAAATTGATATGATGTGAGTTTTGACCAGTCAAATTTATAAGACGAGAAAAATGTATGCAAAGTTAAACTGATCAAAGCTTTGATTGTTTGATAACAGGTCTACTTGCAAGGGGCTGACCAAATCGCTAAAGACTTGTCAAATAATGTTATGAAAGAGTTTAGATATCATTATCGCTTTCATAATTTACTCAAACGAAAGCCAGCTGAAGCTACTTCTAAATACTGACCTCTTAATTGCTGAAACTGCTTATATGGTTATGTGCACACATCAGGTCATGATCAAAATCATCAGTCATTTTTGGAAGGATGTTTCATTACGCTTGCGATCAGCAAGGGTATTGTAATCGGGATACTAGTCTTTTTTCCTCAGAAAATGGCAGCTGTCAGTCGCGCAAGAGTATCTCGTCGATTCATGGTCATTCTATGGTTTGCCCTCGCTGTCTATTTTGGCTCTGCATTCCAACCTTGAGCTTTTAAAATTAAAGATTACAAGGCCAATTTGTATGTTCCTGATTCCAGAGACAAGTCGTTAAACCTGTTCGAAAATGTAAATGGATTCCACTTCCAAAATTGTTGTGGGTTCCGCGTACAAGTACCTGTAACGTAAATTTTGTCGGCACATTAATTTTGTTGCGGATTCAGCAACCAGCTTATATCGGTAGTTGTTCCTGATTCCGCAAATGTAAGCGGAGTCCGCGAATGTAAATGGACTCCGCAAATTTCTGCGGATTCCGCTTACATTTTGCGGATCCGCTTGCAATTTGCGGAATCCGCTTACAATTTGCGGAATCTGCTTACAATTTGCAGATTTCACGACAGTCTTAGTATATTTCACCACAGTCTAAACACATGTATTAGTTTTTGTTTATGAATTCCACAAACTGTTCCGGATTCCGCATTTTTTGCGGATTCCACATTTTTTTGCAGAATCCGCAAATTTTCTTGTTTTTGGAGCAGTTGTGAGAAATACAGTGTTATGTTATTTGTCCGTGGAATCCGAAACAGAAAAAAGAAATCAAAGAAAGATAGCAATGTTGCGGATTCCGCAACAATCCTGTTTTTGGCCTGTTGCGGAATCCCTTTACAATTCACAAAATGCCAAGTTTGGCCTCGTAATGAAGTAAATATATTTAGGCAATATGTAGTAGATGACAAATAGTCGATAAAATGAATGAACGGTCGAATTTTTTTGCCATTTTGACAAACTTTGAATTTTCGTTTTTGCTTTTTCAATAACTTTTTTGGTTTTTCAAGTTTCACTAGCATCAAAATTTTGAGAAAACTAAAAAAAATTATTTCGGTAAAAAGTTAGGAAATTTCGATGATTTGATTAACATTAGGTTAACACTCGCAATTTTTCTACTTTCTCTATCTAAATTTAAAATGCATCGATCACTTACATGTATTTTTTATCTCGCTGTTTTAACGAAACTTTTAAGATTTTTCTTGCAAGATCTTGCAATATGCTTGCAAGTTAATTTCCATCAGATTTCTTACAAGATATTATTGTTCTCTCAGGATCTTGCAACATTACCCTCATTTTAAAGAATCTTGCGAAATAACCTCCCTTGATCGACTAGGGTGGACTCTATTGCAGTTTTTGCATATCTCATTCTCCTGGCCAACTGTATGTTTATACTACTTGATGGTTTCTGGTTGTAATTTTTGCCATAGTCGCCATACAATAGGCCGTTTGCAAAGAAAAAAGAAAACAGAAACTTGGAGTTTTAACATTTTATAGCTTAGTGTTTCGCAAATTTTTTTTTTAATCGATTAACCGGCGATTAACCAAGTTTTGTCGGCGTAGTTGCTGCTCGGTAAAAGTTTTCTGAATGCTTATTTAACGCAGTAGATTGTGTTTCTCGACATAGTTCTCTAAAACTGATTAGTAGTCGATACAAGCTTATGAAACGTTTGTAGCTCTATTTGTTTGTGACATTGTTTCGAACTGTTTTTTTGGTTTAGCGGCTTTCAATTCAGTTTGTCCGCTTAAAATGGTAGGTTTTTGTTGTGCCACAAGCGGTGCAAAGCTCCCTTGGGCATTTGCGTCATGAAATAGAAGCTTTGATGATGTCAAAGTTTTCAGAGCAATATTTTTTTCTTTTAAAATTAACCGTCCTTAAATGGTCGAAAAACTGATCCGCACCATGAATTTTCCAGTAATTTGAGCAAGGCTTAGACTTAAAGTTCTGAATTCCCTTCACAAAAGCGGACCTAAAAAACCTGAACACAATTTCGATGAGCTAATTACGTTGGCAGTTTTACGAGCTCTTTTTTTAAAAACTTAGCAACAATTTTTTAACAGTCTCTTGTGATTAATTGGTTTTATGAAATCATAAAAGTAATTAAAAGTGATACAGTAAAATGCGTACCTTATTCTTCTAAATTTCACGGTTTTTCTAGATAGTTTTTCGAAATTTGATGAATGTGTCAGCCAAAACTCATTGTCTCCTCGTTTTTTTTCTGAAAATTCTTAAAATACGGGGATGCATTTTATAATTTTTTCACCGTTGCGATAAGCAAAGGGTATTGCAATCGGGTTCTAAATTTTTTAGACATAAAAACCTGTTTTACAAGTTGGTCACCTGGACTTTTTGTTTACTCTGTTGAAAATACATGATTTGAGCTCGTCAGCATTTGAAAAATACGTCCTACTCGAAAATTATTATTTTTTGAAAATGATTTTAGTTTTGGCGAATTGGTAAAATTTCTTTTGTTTTCCTTTTTTTTGTATGAACTCGACTCAAATTATATCAGTTTGCTAGTGGTCCCAGCTGAAAAGCTGAAAAACAAACTAAAACACAACCGAATACAAAATTCCGGCTCTTTTCCAGTTTCCCCCTTTCAAATTCAGTTTTGAAAAGTCTATTTAACGTTAAAATAATGCAATGAAACTTGCGTGGTGAACAAATCGACAATTCTGAACAGCTTTGTTCTTCATACTTTACAGCGTAACATCAAGCATTTAGCCGTAAAACATGTAAATCAAGCATAAAACTCGGTATTTTGAAAGGGGGAAACTGGAAAAGAGCCAAAATTCCTCCACATTTTTCAAAAGGTCAGAATAAAAAGTGATAACTAAGCGCTCTTTTTCCTCCCCCCCCCCACCTCCCACGACCATCAATTTTATGGTGTAACGAGTGGTTTTAGAAGGTTAATAATGAAGACCAAATGTGATTGGCACATCCTAATTTGTCCGCATGTCAATTTTCGTAATGATCGGACAATGTGAACAGTAACTTTACTAGTAAAAAATTGCAGGTGGGGGGGGGGGGAGGAAAAAGAGCCAAGCACTTCAACGGAGTCTGCAATTAAAGACCAGACGTGAGCTTTCAAACTTATAAAAAAATCGATACATAAAATAGTATCCCTACATTTCCATTGTCAAAAAAATCTTTCATGCGCTGAACTAGTTTTATGAATGTGACTAACATCTTTTTCCCTCTTAAGTAAATAAATCGAATCTTTAAGCTCGTCATAAAATCAGGTTATTTTAGTTTCTTTCCACACAAAAAAGTGCCCCATCCCCCCCCCCCCCCCCCCCAATTAAAGAGAGAGATAGAGAGAGAGAGAGAGAGAGAGAGAGAGAGAGAGAGGGTGCCAATCATAAACCCCCCTCCCCAAAGTCTACCAAAAAATAATGTTCAACCATAATAATGTTCAACCAAAGTCTACCATAAATTAGTATTCAACCACAGGGCAGCGAAAGGCAGTTGAGGTAAGTTGTCAGGAAAGGGGTAAACGCGTATACTGGGGGGTATTCTACCTTTAAATAATTCCCCCTCCCCTGCGAAATGAAGTGTTAAACTGAACTGAACTGAAAAAATAGAGACAAAAAATATACAAAGTGTTACATTTTTATGAAACGTAATACGTAGCAACAGCACTGAACAGGAAATGAGATAACTTTGAAAAAAGATGTAAATTTCATGAATAACTTCTCGAAAAAAAATCAATTATAATGGATTACAATTGAGTATATTGGTTTATTTTGACATAAAAATATTAGGATTATGATGCATTTTTAATGGATTATGATCAATTATTTTGTAATTTTATAGATACTGACCATATTATAAGAATATATACGAATATTATCCATGGGCGCTTCGCTTCGTGCGGGATGGCAACTTTTGGACGTAAAGAAAGATAAATTTTAAATCAAAGTTCACTTTAATTGGCTCGTTTTCCTCTCCCCCCAACATCACATGACCATCAATTTTTTGGTGTAACAAGTGGCTTTAAATGGTTGATAATGACGACCAAATACGTTTATAATGGCTTATTTAGTCCGCATGTCAATTTTCATTTTAATAGAAAAAGACGAACAAGAAATTAACTGGTAAGAGTTCGCAAGTGGGATGAAAAAAAGGGAAAAAAACCCTGTTTTTTTCTTAACATTTTAATAATCACTTTTCTGTTTCTTTGATGCCACGACTTATGTTATGCAAGGAAGGGGGAAAAGGAATGACTTACGCTCAAAAATATGCCCCTGGTCCCGTGCCTAGCATTTTTTTTGTACAGATCTGAACTTCTTGATTTCTTATTTAAGACGCTTCTCAGATCAAAAAATTGTTTTTTCAGATAATTGATACGAAATTGAAAAAACTTTAGATCTGAAATTTAGATCTAAAATTTACTTTTTCAGATGTGAGCTGACCTTAAAACTAAAACTTCAGATATGAAACTAGATCTGAGAATTTTTTGTTTAATTTTAAAAAAGCATTTCGAGCAACGAACTGAATTCCCAATTCTTGCCTGGTTATATTAGTTACATTTTTATATTTTGATTTGTTAGCCTTTAAAAACCTCCATACAATTAAACAAATTTATTTTTTTTCAGAGTTACTTTCTTGTTCAACTGTTTTTAAAAGTTTTCAAAAAATGTTAGAAGACTTCAAATTTTTATGCACTACTTTGCATTTCCCATGTTTATTTCATTATTAGGAGAAAATAATTTCTTCAGGCTTCGCTTAGAATTTTGGCTAAGTATCTTCTAGTAGCTAGCAGAAGTTATAAAGTACAGAAGTACTTGAAAAAACAAAAGTTTCTTTCGAACATTTGATTTCTTCAGATAAAGAAAACCATGTTTTCAGATCTGA